TACCAGGTAACCCTGGCAGTTTCCTCGTCGCAATAGCTTAGTGGCTTTCGCCATCGAAATAACATGAGGCAGTGAACGGTTCTTGGAGCCGAAGAAAGTAATCGACTCATCTCCCGGAAGATAGAGGGTAAGCTCCCGGTCATGGCACCTGATATCAGCATGATAGAAAGAAAGCCAATCCATCCCGAGAATAAGATCGAAATCCTTCATCTCGAGAACGAACGCGTCGGCGGTCAATACTCGGCCACCGATGGAAAGGCTAAGGTCTGTGGCTTTGGCTGAGGTCACTATCTTTCGTCCCGAGGCTAGACTCACCTCGAGAGGATCGACAGCGGTAACTGCATGAACTCCGATGGCGTCGAGACACCATCGGGAGATGAAGGTGTGCGTTGCTCCGGTATCGAATAAAGCGAATACAGGAATATCATTAAGAACGATCATCCCGGACATTGTACCTGATTGCTGTGCTGCCTCCGCCTGATCGACCGCGTAGACCCTGGCCTGCTGCCTGCCTCTCTGCTGCTGCTGCTGCTGCTGCGGTCTCTGTGCCTGCTGTCGTGGCTGCTGCTGCTGTGGCTGCTGAGGCTGCTGCTGAAGCTTCTTCGGGCAACGACTCGCGAAGTGTCCCGGCTCCTGGCAGAAGTAACAGATGTCCTGTCCAGCACGACACTCTCCCCTGTGAAGTCGGCCACAAGTCGGGCATGGTGGAATCTGTCTCTGTCGGGTCCTCCGGTCGGCCGATGCACCCTTTGCCTTCCTCTTCTTCTCCTTGGCTAGCTTCGGAGCTGGTAGAGCTGGTGGAATTGCGACGGGCTGAGCTGGAGCGGCTGGCTGAGCACGATCACGAACGGCCTCCCTCCTAATGCTAGCGTCAACCTCCTGTGCGATAGAGACGGCTCGTGCATACGTCTGAGTCCCGTGTCCCACAATGTTATGACGGACTGCTGGATATAGTCCGTCAATGAACCTCTGAGCTCTCTGGGCCTCTGTGCGAACAAGATCCGGTGCAAAACCTGCAAGCCTGGTGAACTCACGCTCGTACTCATCGACAGTACGAGTGCCCTGCTGAAGCGCTAAAAACTG